TCAGGTGGGAAATCAGTACTTTAAAAACGGATGTAGAAAATAAAGCAAAGTGTTCAAAGATCCTCGGCTTAGCCGAGAAAAATTATCAGCCATTCCAGAATTCAGAAGACCTCATCTTCAGATTTCTGGGGGGGCAGAGGGAAATAGAGAAATGGCACAACTGATCTAATACCCTTCAGCTCAGCCGAAGTTTGATACTTATGTCAGTTTTTTCACAAGTTGAAAACATCCGAGTACAAACGGCAAAAAGAAGTCTCAGCAGAAATGATTCTCGCTAGCCGAAGTTCTGCACTTAGCAAATATTTGAAAGATCATTCAAAGAAAGCAGTAAAGTGCGAAGACTGGTAAAGCGAAGAAAAAAAAATATACACAAGAAAGCTGAGAAAGTGAACTTCTTTGAAATAAAAATGTTGAATTACAAAAATAGTCGGCAGCCGCCCACAAGCGGAAAGTAACAGCTGCCGAAATACGTACAGGCAAAATAAAAATATAATAAGCTGTTGTACGATAAGGCAAGCTGAAGCAAAAAAAAACAAAAGGCAAAAATTCAGAAAGCGGCAAGTCTAAAGTTGAGCGCATGATGAACCGCAAGATTCTGAAGACGACTGCCCGAGTTCCTATGCTTCAGCCTGAGGATCAGACTGATCAGCTTCATTGGGCCCAATGGTGGTCTCAGCTCCAGCAGCAGAAGAAGCAGGCTTTGCACTCTGCCGAGCCTCCCTTTCTCTCTGCTCAGCCTCCAACTCCATCCTCTCAGCTTCTTCCTCGGCTTCCTCAGCCTTAAGGATTTCAGCTTCGATTGGAGTGGCATACTTCATGTGAGGGTCTTCGGGATCTTGGACCCATTCAGCACATTTGGACCAGTCCAGCTTCGGCTCAGCATGAAGGCAGACCCTTCGGCACACTCTGAACCCGTTTCTAAAACCCATTTCATACTCTTCTTGGGTATAGATACGGACTTTGAGTAGAGCCTCAGCATCGGCCAACTTCTTCTTCGTCTCCTCCAAGTCTTCCTCGGATCTCTTCAGCTCATCGACGAGCTTGGAGGAGGAGCCTTTCAGCTCGGAAAACTCTTGCTGAACCCGGGAAGCCTCGGCCTGAACTTGGACCATTTCTTCCTTCTTGGCAGTGAGCTGATCCTCAGCCTCTTGTAGCTTAGCTCTTTGAGCTTCAGCAGCAGCAGCAGCCTCTGAGAGTTGGACGTCTTTGGCCAAGAGCAACTCTTCAGCAGCCATTCGGCTGGCTTCAAGAGCCTCTAGACGCTGCTGCACTTCAGCTTGTGCAGCAGTTCCTTCTTGAATTCGGCTCTCAATAGCAGCCTTGAATTTGGAGACGTCCACTCCCATATGCTCCTGGAGGAATTTTTCCCCTTCCATCAGTGGGGGAAAAACCTCCATCTCCATAGCATCGCAGAAGGTTTTCAGAGCTTCGGCAGCTTTTTTACCGTACTCCTCAACCTCCTGCTGCTTCTCTTCAGCTGCTGCTTGCTTCAGCTTGGCAAGCTTAACTTCCTCTTCAGCCACCTTCCTTTCGTGCACAGCAGCGTCCACCCTATCTTGTAGGGAATCTATCAGCTCTACAGTGAGAGTCTGATTGTGCACGAACTGAAAACAGGGGCACAAGTTAAAAAAGTAAAAAATAATAGCTGAAAGGTTGAGTTCAGAAAGAAATCAAGGCAAGGAAAATTACCTGCATCATCAGCAGTTGGTTAGACCTGGCTGGGTCAGGAACTGATCTACTGGATTCGCCCATCCCAGCAGTGGCCTTCAGCGACCAGATCCTTGCCCTGTCTACTTCGGACATGCCAGCAAAATTGCCGAAGTAGGCTGCAGCTCCTTCTCGGTTTTGACCCCATATGAGGTCCCAGATGTGATCTGGGATTGGAATTCGGGGGGCCGAGAAACCCATTTCTCCAGAATGCAGAGTCTGGAAAGAAGGGAAGGACGACGATGGAGCTTGATTAGCTTTGGTTGTCTCAGCATCGTCCTTCTCAGAGGAGTCAAGTACTATGACCTCCTCTTCTTCAGGGGTGAGGACGAAGGCCTCAACCTCTCTTGCGATATCTGCCGTGAAGCCTTCAGCACTTGACATCACGACATCTTTATTTCCGTGCTCAGCAGCACTCTCCTTGATTTCTTCTTGGACCCCTCCCTTAGGTTCGGGAGTCCTCTGATCCACCTCCATCTCAGGAGGTGGCGGAGGGGTCTTTTGAGGAGATTGGGGTGTTGGCTGGGGAACCCTCGGCGATCCATTGCCTTCCTCAGGTTCCCTTATTGCGACGCCGATGGTCATCGGCCTCTGCTGAAAGTCATGAGGGCCGATGATGGCCATCCTTCGGCGCCTTTTCAGAAGGGGCTGCTCGTCCATATCTGAGTCTGAAGACTCTTGTATTTGATCTTCGGGACGAACAGGAGCTTTGCCTTCTCTGTGTCTGTTACTCTCTTCAGACTGTAACAGACAGGGGGGAAGAAGAGTGTGAGTAAAAAAAAAAAAAAAAAAAAAAAAAGAAAAGAAAAAAGTTGTCTGAAAGCTCACCGAGGTTTTCAGCAAAGCCTCGTCTTCTTCAGCTGCTCTAGCTGCAGCTTCGGCTTCAGCAGCTCTGGAGGACCCTTCTCCTCCTTCACAAGCCTCAAGTACCCGTGCAACCTCTTCGGCTGTGCGGGCAGCTTCAGCTTCTTCGTTCAGCAGCTGAAACCAAGGGTCTCTCTTCTTCCACCAAGGCTTCTGCCTCTGATACAGAGCAACAGCCTCAATTTGGAAGTGGGAAGAGTCTAGGTGAACCTCTCGGCGCCTTGGTTCAGTGATAGGGGGAGCCCGATCAGTTACGACTCGTTCTCGGCTGACGCCAAGGCGAGCGTAATCAATGCCGACGTTGGTCTCGTCCCGTTCTGAAAAAGAAAAGGGGAGAAGTCAATTCAGTTAGTTCGGCACATCACAAGAAAGCAAAATGAAAGAAGAAAAGAGATAATTAAAAGGCCTCGGCCCCAGCCGAAGAAGATTACCATCCCTAAACTTTCGGCTGAGGCCGACAGCTGCCAGCATATTCTCTTGGAAAACATAGTGCGTATCGGGGAGCCAAGTCTCCGGGATATGCTGCATTCGGCCGCTGCCTCCCCGGTTCGGCAGCTTGCCGAAGATGTTCTGCTGATTAAGGTTCGGGTCTGGCCCGCTATCTTCGGGAGGACCTAAACTTCCCATATCAGGATCCGGCTCGGCAAGATACCGGGGAGCGCTGAAAACATAAGGATGGCTCGGCTCCGTGGGCGCCCTAACCCAAATCCATTGACCTCTCCAGTCCTTGTCTGAAGAGTCGTTCGGCCACATGGTTAGGAACGGGGGCCGAGACTCAATCCGATACCACCCAGAACCATGGCTTCCGTGCCCACTCTGAATATTTGGCACTAGCCGATGGAGCTTTCTGAAGCAGTGCAGGTTCGGCACGTATCTGAAGAATTTGCAGACCCATAAGTACGTCATTACCCTTCGGATGCTGGTGGGGGTCAGCTGGCACAGGGAAATGTTGTAATGGATCAGCAAGTCTCGGACGAATACGTCCAAAGGGAACCTCAGCCCATACTGAAGCTGTCTCGTGTACACCCCCACATACCCCGGGGGTGGACGATGGATTCTATCGGATGCTGAGGGCATTCGGCACCAATATCCATCAGCTTCAAAAATGCCGTAGTGCAACTCAATTTGCTCAGCAAATCGATATTGATCGGCGTTCTCTACCCACCATGAGTAGGGACGGTTCTTTATCATGGCCGAAGCTACTTCGGCATCCTCCCACTCTGAAAACCCTGGGAGGATATCCCAAAGGACAGCGGGAACTTCATCATCCCGTCCTGAAGCTCTCACCCCCTCAGCCCTCTGAGGAGGAGCCGAAGAAATGGGAGTCGCCCTAACCCCTTCAGCAGGGTCAGACTCTGTCCTTCGTCCATTCCAGGTCCCAATCCTGTCCCTGGGATCGGGGATTAGCCTTGCTCTTCTTGGAGCACGGGCTCCACCTCTAACTCCCCTCACCATCGACGAATTTCGAAGGAAAAAGTCGAAAAAGGGGAAAGAGTGCAAAGTCGAGGAAAAATGAAATAAAATCAAAGGAATTTACCTTGATCTGAAGCAAAAGCCGCCGATTTACGAATTGGTAGTGACAGGTCTCAGCTTCTAAGCTTAATGCTCGGGGAATTTGCGAAGTTTTGATGCGGGCTCTTGAGCGTTCTTGAGAATTCTGGGTTTGTGTTGATGAGTGAGTGGGGAGAGAAGACGCGCCTCTATTTATATCTCCAGAAATGGGAATTCAAGGAGTCTGCGTTTCAATTTCTCTCAAGCACCCCACTAAGTAGCCGTTAAACACACGACCTTGCAGTTAAATCGCCCACTACCCGTCCAACTTCCGCAATTATCCACATTAACTGTTGTTATCTCATTAATCATGGGTTAATTACGGTTTAAATTCACATTTTTGGATCAACAAATCATTCACTTCCCTCCTTTTCTGATTAAATCAAACCCGACCCGTCATCCTTCCAAATCGGGTCTGGGGGGCAAGTTGTTTGGGTCCAATTTAGTCCAATTGGGCCTGGTCACTGAATGATCCAATTAAAAGCCCAAGGTTAAGGTTCAACTCTCCAAATATGCTAAAGTCAAAAATCAACATCCTCAAAGCCATGTCAAGGTCAGTCAACGGCCCAATCAGCTTGGCCCAGCCCAACTGACTTCCGGGCCCAATCCGCCTCCTTCATTAGCCAAGGTATAAAAGCCAACAATTTGGTCAATCCTTGGTAAGACAATAAAGCCTCAAGCAACTAAACTCTTGCACAGCTTTCTCTCTCTAATATACTGACTTAAGCATCGGAGGGGCCTTCCTCGGCGTCCCCCCCGAGGCTAGTTTACGTGTATTTGTTGTGCAGGAAACCCTCGGCTCCTGCGTCGTTCGGACCGAGACCAAGTTCCCTCAAGATAAAAGGATCTTCCGAGATTCGATTGTTTTCATCCGAAACAACTACATTGATTTCAAACACCCTGCAAAATTCGGGATGTTGGCAATGGAGGAGGATAAGAAACAGATGATCCTCGAGGACTTACAATGGTTCAAGGGCGCGAAAGACTACTACGCGCAAATTGGAAAGCCATGGAAGCGGGGTTACCTTCTATATGGTCCCCCTGGAACAGGAAAATCAACACTAGTAGCAGCCATGGCTAATCTCCTAGACTACGACATCTACGATCTTGAATTGACATCAGTTAAAAATAACAAGCAACTGAGAAGCCTATTAATCGAAACAACTTGTAAGTCCATCATTCTGATTGAAGATATAGATTGTTCATTGGACTTGACAGGACAAAGAACAGAGAAAAAAGAAGGAGGTGAAGAAAAGGCTGGCGAAAAAGACCCTTTGAAGGATAAACCTGCAGGAGAAAAAGAAGTGAAAGACAAAAAGAAGAAAGGAAGTGAGGTAACTTTGTCTGGTTTACTAAACTTTATTGATGGAATTTGGTCAGCTTGTGGAGAAGAGAGGATTATTGTGTTTACGACTAATCATGTGGACAAACTCGATCCTGCTCTAATTCGGCCTGGTAGAATGGACTTGCACATTGAGATGTCTTACTGTCGATATGAAGCATTCAAGATGTTGGCTAAGAACTATCTACGGCTTGAATCACATCCTTTGTTCGAAACCATTGGGGCGTTGCTAGAGGAAATAGATGTTACACCAGCTGATGTAGCCGAAAATATTATGCCTAGATCAATCAAAACTACTACTGCCGAGGATTGTTTGAAGAAATTAGTTGTGTACCTTGAGAAGGCAAAGCAAGCAAAGAAGTTGAAATCTGAGCAAGAACTTGTGTTGGAAGGTGAAGAGAAGTTAGCATTGGGGGAAATATCTGGTGAAAAGAAAAACATGTGAGAGATTAACATAAATTTATTATGAGTTAATCAATTGTATTAATTTAAGTAGTGAACAAAAATCATGTAATCGTCAAGTTGATTTGATAATCAATTACTACAGAAAATAAACGCGGGTGAAATCAAATCAAATGTAACAAGTATTCAGGGCCGTTTTTGACTTTTGTGAGGCTATGGGCAAAATAACAATTAGGGGCCTTGTGAATTTAATCATGCAATATGCACTAAAAAGTGATTGCAAATGAAGAGTACTTTTTATTAGGCTATTTATGTTATATTTCCTACGGGTTTTTTTTTATTTTTTTATTCCAACTTTTAGAATTCAATCTTATTTACTTACACTCCTTTAATCATCTTTTGTGATTTATAGGTTGGAGAAATAATAATATACCTGACATCTTGTCAGATTTTCTTCGAAATATACTTTTATAATATCAACCTTTTATATAAAAAACCATGTATAAGTTATAACATGTGCATTGGCATGGCAAGCGTGAAACCCCCAACGTTGCGATATATTGCGACAAAAATAGAATAAAGGAAGTAAAAATTAATAATCAATTTCATACAAACAATACTACAAAATATATACTCTAAATATAGCCAATAGGTTTCGAAACCATGTAACTAAATTCTAGGAAATACAAAACAAATCTACACCATTGAACCACTTAGAGTCTGCTCACATTTACTTAATTTCAGTTCAGTTCCGTTCAGCTCTAATCAGTTCAGTTCAGTTCAGCTCAGCTCCAATAAGTTCAGTTCAGTACAGCTCTTAATTTTCCTCTCTCATAAAATATTCATTTCAGCTCAATTCAGTTCAGTTTAGCACCAATCAGTTCAGTTTAATTCAGCTTTAATCAGTTCAGTTCAGTAAATGTGAACAGATCCTTAGTTAATTTTTTTTACAGATTACAGGGAATTAATTTTTATGCATTAAGTACTACGTATATAAACTTTTGCATAAACAACTTTTTTTTTTTAAGAAGTCCTGAAGATACTAATTTTCATTAGTTAAAGTCATACGGTTTTTACAATTGAGACTAGTGAGATTAGACACCCTGACCTCACACTTGAATTTCGGAAGTTTGTCAATTACTCTAAACCCTAACTAAAAACTATAATATGCTATGAACCTTATTCTTATATAGTTAGTCGGTGACATAACCCCCTGTAAAGTGAGCTATCAATATTTACTAATGCCCTTCCAAACATGAAGAGTTTCTTTTTCACTCAGCCGGGCCCAGGTGTGGGCCGTGGGCCGTGTTGTGAACAAAACTTTTTAAAATAGGCACAGGCACGACACGAGCACGACATGCTGGTCAGTTGGCCCATGGCAAGGCCCGCTGGCACGCCACCACGGTATATATATATATATATATATCACTACAAGAAAAAGGGTAATTAGCGACGGCCAACGTAGTCGCAAATCCGTCGCAAAAATGGATTTGCGACGGATTTGCGACTACTTTGGTTTGTTGCCAAAGACCTCGTCACAAATCCATTTTTGCGACTAATTTTTGGACAGTCGCAAATTTAGCGACGGATTTGCAACGCCTTTGCAACTACCATTTAGCGACTAACTTTCAAATTTTAGCAACTAAATTATTGTCCGTCGTAAAATATTTGCGACAGATTAGCAACTACTTAGACCAATGTTTTAGGACTACTTTTGCAACGGATTAGCGACTACAAGACCAAACTTTTGCGACTAAGAGACTAAACTTTTGCGACTACAGAGACTTGTTTAATTGCGACGGATTTGCGACTATTGAGACTAATGTTTTTTGCGACGGATTAGCAACTACATACGAGACCAAATTTTTGCGACTACAAAACTAATTATTTGTGACAGATTAGCGACTACTGAGACTAATGATTTTGCAACTAACCAATTAGTCTCTAAACCAAATTTGCAGTCGCTAAATATTTGTGACTAACTATCAATATTTGAGACCATAATTAAGCGACAACCAATATTAATCACAAAGCAAAAAAGGTACCCACGCATAAATTCAAATAACCAAAATGTTAATTTTATTCAAATATCCAAAATATCAATCAATTTTGTATCAATGTATTAAAAAACAATATTTAACTTATAAGACTAATTGTTCCAAAAGTCACCTCCCATATAAAAAAAAGCTACTTCAAACAAGAATTAATGACAATGTAAAAGACCAGTTGTTCATAAAATTACCACCAAGAAAATAAAAATCACTTAGTTGTATCACGAGAGCGGGTGACTGCAGGCGTAGGAGGCTTATAAGGACGGTAAACTTGTTTTACAAGTGATGCCATTTCCTGCAATGTTTTTTGCATAGCTAATTTTTCCTTCTTGCATGTAGCTTTTTCGATCTCATGATTTTCGATGAATTACTTAGCACATTTCAAGCTCTTTGCCGCTATTTTTTAGCTTTCTCTACCTTGTTATGGTTTTCTTCCGCCATCTTCTTTAGCTCTTCAACTTGAGAACTTAATTGAGAAATCATGGAAGGAGTGGAAGATGATGAAGTAGATTGAGAAGTAGGATCACTCTTGTAATACATTTGTGAAGCACTCCCTAAACCGTAGACTTTTCCTTTCTTTTGCCCACCTACAACCTCCAAGTAGACTTTGTCGGGGTTTATCTCAATTCCTTTGTTCTTATATTCCTCAAGTTTTTCCATATATTCTCCCTGCATTAAGATATGTATTAGTAACTATGATCTCAAATGTTAAAACTTAAATAAACTAAATACATTTAAAAAAAAAACAACTATAATAAAAATACAAGCAATGATTCGGGACATCGTCCGAGATAAAAACTTGTTTGGACTTCTAGAACACAATTTAATTTAATTGCTTTAGAGCAGCTAATAGAGTATTACCCATCAATGATGCAATAACATGAATACAAGTACAGTCAGAGTTACCTCTTAATAGATGTTCCAGATTACAAAGGTACAACTATTGGGAACAGAGGATCATGGGTATTTTTATTATAGTTGTTTTGTTTTTTTTTAAATAAAAAAGGTAACACTTATAGCAAAATAATTTATGTAAGCAGTTATTATTAAAAATTTCGGCAGAGTCTCCTTTGTAAATTGAAGAATCCCCTCCTATAGGGTATGGCTTCAAAATAAACCTGTCTCAATTCACATTGTGCCATACCATATTAATCATATGATTAATGCCGGCAAATCATTCTCATCCTCCAACTCAATCACACAAACAAATAAACAATCTATAATATCTCCAAACATTAACTACCACATATTTTTTTTTTTTTTTTTGTAATCTTAGCAAAATATAGAAGTATACTCATACCATGACTTTTTGAGACTTGTCACCCATCAATTCAACTTCATCATTGCCCACACAAACAGAATGAGTGCTCTCATATACTTCAGCAGTAGTTGGTAAAATTCCATCCTTTTTCTTTGCCTTGTATTAGAAGAAGTTGTTAGCACTAAAAAAAATACAACAAAAAATAGGGGACATAGACTACAGAGCAATTGTAATAAAGACTAGTTATTGTGATCTCTTAGTGGCTAAAAATTTTCTACTTGCTTCAATCTTATATAAAATCACAAGTTAGCTGCTAAATCATACACTTACCATTTTTTTAACCACTTGAGGAGTAGATACGCTACCTTGGCGATGGCCAGGGTCAAACTTCTCTAATGTTTGGCCAGATAACCGATTATCTCTTGCTTGGTTAGAACGTTTCAGAAAATCAGGATGCTTACGCTTATTTATGAATTCAGCTCAAACAGTGTCAGTCATGAAACTAACTTCCTTATGGAGAGGCATTTTGTAAACTTGGTTCAATGTGCCCCTAAGTCGGTCCCCAGCTTTTTTGTCAAATTCTCTCCTAGCCTTAGCATCGAACTCAGTTCTCCAAGTATATGTACGCTGCACATAATTAACATGTAAAGCTTATAATTTTAACTCAAAATAGCATATTATACATAAATAATTTTATTTCTAATTTATAATTTTAACTCAAATTTTGCAGATTGTGGTTGGCGGCAGGAACAAGTATCTGATTAATGGGCACCTTGCCCAACCTAGTAGGGTACAAAACCTCTTCCATTCAGTGCAGCTCAATGTGAATAATCCACATTTTCTAATTATGCAAGGGCGTATTACAAAAGTTTTAAACATGAAGCCTCCTGAAATATTGTCTATGCTTGAAGAGGGTGCTGGGACAAGGATGTATGAAAATAAGAAAGATTCTGCTTTGAAAACACTTGAAAAAAAGCAAACTAAAGTTGATGAGATTGATAAGCTTCTTGATCAGGAAATCTTACCTGCTTTGGAAAATTTGAGGAAGGAAAGAATGCAGTACATGCAGTGGGCTAATGGGAATGCAGAGTTAGATAGGCTTAAAAGGTTTTGCATTGCTTATGAGTATGTGCAAGCAGAGAAGATTAAAGATGGTGCAGTGTTTAATTCTTTGATTTTATTTCTCATTCATGTGAGCTTAGATCAATAATGCAAGAATGAAATAGAAAAGCAATAAAGAACAGAAAATAGACAAAACACACATTAGTGAGCATATGAGTGAGAAACGCACTCCTGTTTGCATCAGAGTGAGATTGAACCAGTTACCACCAGTAAGAATGGAAATGTAGAGCAATTATTTGCGAGGATCGGCATCATAGAATTAAACGAAAGATGTACCGTACCAACTGCAGACAAATGAATGCTACTTTCCCTCTCCGAATCCCCAAACAAACTGATTCAGGCAGGCCGCCCAGCATGAAAACTATGAAAGCTACTCTTTAGTCTTGCAAAAATATTAGCAATACGATCATACATTGACACTGCAGTCATTAGGTCTCTTGTGTGATAAGAAAATTCTGATAAACAGTATTATAAGTGAATTTCAGTATAACATGGGGTTTTAATGTGAGCAACAAGGAAATTACAGCAAATATTAGCTCACGATGGTTGCATTGGTGTCAGGAAAGCAGGGTGCAGAAAGGGACCGTTAACTAAATCTTATCCAATACAACTAATTAACGAAACCCAGAAATCAACGCCGTGAAGACAGCATTGTCATCAAACCTGGTTGCAACTCAACTGTAAGCTACCCTTATGAAACTAAATCCCAGGATTTGAAACGGTTGTATTTTTTCCTTTTCTACGGTACACTAAAATGGCTATGCTTCTCAGACTTCTAGCCTAGTTTCCAAACACACAGGTTTCAAGCTGCCCAGTCTTCTGCACAAGTTCAGGCATATTTTACAAGCATACATGCAGAAAAACTGAACTCACCTGAAGCTACAGCAGATTAATATTAGTATGAAAATGAAAATTTGAAGCGTTTGCTTGCATGACAATTAGTTTGAAATAAAAGCCAGAAGAAAGTAACTAGGAAAAGGTTTCTCTTTGGCTAAAACATATTTTGTTGAGTTACCCACTACTCGATCTATTCTTTCTCACCTGTTTTCACAATTTATCATAAACTTAGAATAGGAAGACGAATGAGCCATCCTAGATCATTCACTATGACTCCAAACTGAACTACAGCCAAGAAGCAAAATATTCTTCAGAATTTTATGTCAAATTCACAACACTGCACTCATAAATAGCTAGAAAAACTAGAGTACGTAATGCTGCTTATTTACTGCAAATAAATAAGTAACCTAATCAAGACATAAAATTGAAGCATTCTCCTCATATAACAGATTAAATCAGCAACAACCCATATTACATTCAGAGCAAAACAATGAACACTTCTTATACAGTCAAAAAATTCAAAACACTTCTAGTGTATAGGCAACCCCCGCTTGCCCTACAGCAATTTCAGAAAATCAAGCGAACCCTAGAACACAACCACCAGAGTTTTCAAACAGTTAGCAATGATGCAGCAAATAGGAGCAAGAAAGACAGAGTTTTCAGCAAGATCCTACAACGAAATTCGAAAGAGCGTGCCCTACCATAAAATTTAGAGGTTACACATTTGGATTGGTACTTAAAATTTCTTAAAACAAACCTGGCATGGCTGTTGGAATACACGAATGTTGTCTCTGGTGGGGTTAGAAGTGTTGCTGCTGTGGGTTGTGGCTGTTGGAGGTGCCCTGCTAACATGGAGAATTTGGTAACATGGGCACGCTAAAATCACTTGATATGATAAATTATTATCTGAGAAACACATATTTAAACTGATGCCCCGTCTGTTTTGCTGACGATATAATTTGACTATGTGAAGCACTACAATCAAAGGTGGACATTTCATTTTCAATCTCACACTCAAATCTATGGTGTAGGACCATTAATTATGAGTAAATTCAAGTCAGATTCATATACAATTACATAGAAAACTAAAGCAAAGGACCATGAACACAAATTACAAATTGTATGATTTATAGCCTTGCATACAAAGATTGTCAGCATGACTTATCACTTATCAGTCACACACAATAGATTTAGCAATGAAATACCCACCATAATTCGCAGACCAATTACAAAATTTCATCCAACAAATTCATATTTACAAAAGAATTAGCAGCAGGGCTAATATTCAGATTGTTAAGGGTTTGGTTATTGTTGACAAAAATCAAAATATATTCCCAAATTCCCAAATAAAATTGGGAAAATTGCAGAAAAACAGTTTCTTTTTCACTTTATTTTATTCTTAATTTATTTATTTTGTTATTTATTTGATTTTATTTATTTGTATAGTTTTATTTAATTTTTATTAGTTTAGTGTTATTTCTCTTTTTCTATTTCACTTTATTTTATTCCTAATTTATTTATTTCATTTTTATTTGTCTTGATTTCTCCTCGGTTTTGTGTTTAGGGTCCCGGATTTCATGTCAAGTGAGTTCGGAGATCAGAGACGAGTGAAAGTGTGTGCAATTCTTTACTTTGATGGATGCTGCCCACCTCTTATCCATCACCCCACCTTCTTAACCTCCACTACACCAATTCCCCTGCTCCCTCTCGCACACAGCAGCCCACCAAAACCTTGCTGCAACTACCAACCACATCAGCCCACCAAAACCAATCACATCCCCTGCTCCCTCTCCTTCACTCACGCATCAAGCCATCAACCACCACGCATTCCAGCCTTACCACCAACAACACCACACACACCAGCACCAACCACCGCCAAAACCGCCAGCATCTCCTAAAACTAATTAGCCACACACTTCTCAGCCCACCAATTTCATCCATCATCCACCAGAGCAACCCAACTGCTACAGCAACAGCAGCCGCACCACCACAGCCCAAACCAGCCACGCAATCACACCTCAATTCTACCACCATCACCCAATTGCAGCCGCACCACCACCTTCACGCGCAGCCGCAACAACAACCCAATTATCCCCTGCTCCAAGTCACCTCGCAATAGCCCCTGCTCACCCTCACCAACACCAGCAGCCACCCAAACCAAACCAAAATCACCACAGCAGCCCCTCACCAACACCACCGTCAACAACCAGCAACAATTAAGCAATTCGGCCCCTCAATTAAGCAAAATTTACTCACAATTTGCATAATCATTAACCAAATTTCACGAAATAAGGTTAGTCCAATTGCGCAAAAAACCAGCCACACATGATTCAATTATTCGTTACCAAGAAAAACTAAAGTAGCTCGATTGAAATTTCAGAACAGGATCCAAATAAGCCTTAATTAAGCACACATAATTGAACCCAATCTCGACAAAACGGAATTCTAGCACCACGATTTCACTAATCAAAAGCATGAGTAAAAACCTAATATATCAAAAGCAAAATTAAGCTTATGAATTAGAAAACAAACCTTAAATTGATGATCAGTGGAGAACGTAAACTGCACTAAAATAGAGATTCAGCGCACAAAAATAGCGATAAATTTGATATTTTTTTATGAAGAGCAGTAAAGAGAAGAGTATGTAAAGAGAATTAGCGATAAACTGCACTACAATAAGGAGTTATAGTTCTTTTTTTTTTTGGGCGGCAACAACTTTATTATACTAAGGGTTTTCTTTAATTCTTTCTTAATAAATTAAAAAAAAAAAAAAAAAGTAGCGACAACCGTGTTAGTTGCAATAGTAGTGCAATTTTTAGAAAAAAAATGATTTCAAAATTATTAACACTGGCAACTACAATTTAGTCGCAAATTATTATAAGAGTGTCGTAAATAAGCGACTGCATAACAACTATTATAAAATCGGTTGCAATTTTTTGCGACTACTCGTCTATTTCAGTTGCAAAAATACTTTTAACGACTGATTATTATGGTAGTCGCAAAAATCAGTCGCTAATTAGTGACCGCATAGCAACTACTGCAAAATCGGTTGCAAAATTTGCAACTACTCGTCTTTTTCAGTCGCAAAAATATTTTTTGCGACTAATTATTATGGTAGTCGCAAAAATCAGTTGATAATTTCCCTTTTTCTTGTAGTGTATATATATAGGACCCGGCACGGCCCTCCAGGCATGCAGGCTGTGCCGTGTTATGGGCTAGGGTGTGCCAAAAATTGGCATGGCACGGCCTGGCACGAGCCACCCCAGACACGGCACGATGCCTACCTTTACTTCCTTCCTAAATTGTATTAAACAAGCTTGAACCCTCATTCACCTTTACTATTTCCTTTATAAAAAAATAAATTCATTGAGAATTAATATCTTGCACCTAATGAATTTGTAAAAGGATTTTTTGTGAAAAACTACCTTTTAAACTCCAGATTTTGCGAAAAACTACCCTAAAAACAAAATGTTGTAATTAACTACCTTATAAAATATAAAACGTTGTAATTGACTACCCTCTACCGGAATGACACATTTGACTTTTATTTCCCGACGTTGACCATGTCACGTGACTCTGTAATGACTTAATTCCCCTCTTTTCCCCAAAATTTCCCGCTTTACACCAATTCAGCCCATGTAATTATCAAAGGGGTTGCAAATAAACAATATAAAATATGAATAATCGTATTGTTATGGAAAATAGTTGGTATAAAGCGGGAAATTTTGGGAGAAAGGGGAGAATTAAGTCATTAAAGGATCATGTGTCCCTCACATGACATGGTCAACACCGGAAAATAAAAATCAAATGTGTTATTCCGGTGGAAGGTAGTCAATTACAACATTTTATACTTTATAAGGTAGTTAATTACAACATTTATACTTTATAAGGTAGTTAATTACAACATTTTGTTTTTTAGGGTAGTTTCTCGCAAAAGTCAAAGTTTAAAAGGTAGTTTTTCACAAAATATCCTTTGTAAAATAATTTTTTTGTTGTATACTAAATAAATTGAAGGGTAATAAACCTGCACTTAGCTATTCAGAAAACTCCCTCGAAAGAAAGGGCGAACCTACCTCGAGAGAAAGGCGAACCTACCACCACGCTTGTGGTGTTTCTCCGGCCAATATGGCTAACGAACTAGCTGAAAAATACTTGAACTTGAACAATGAAGACGATGAGAATGAAATTGTGGACGTTGGTGCTGTGAATTCAGAGGAGTCGGAGGCTAGGGTTTTGCTTATGTTAGTCGGCAAACTCTTGACTAACAGAGGCGTTAACTTAGAGGCGTTCAGGTGAACAATAACCCAATCTTGGGGGATGGTGGGGAAGGTAGCAATTCGACCAATTGGAGCGAATACCTTTGTGTTTCAATTTTTCCATTGGCGAGACAAAGAGAAGGTTATGTCGGGTAGACCTTGGTGTTTCGAACAGAGCCTGTTAATCCTTAACGGTATCAATGGAGATGAACAGCCTAATGATGTGACTCTTACCCATTCCCCTTTCTGGATTAGATTGGAGGATCTCCCCTTCAATTGCCGATCTGATGACCATGTGAGAACTATTGCTTCGAGAATTGGCGATGTAATTTAAATTGAAAATGATTTGTTGGGCATTGGGAAGAATCGAAGGGTGAAAGTCATGTTGGACGTTAATAAACCTTTGAGAAGATTTCAGAATGTTAAGAACAAGGAAGGCGCTATTATTAAGATTAAACTGAAATATGAGCGGCTTCCTTTCTTTTGCTTTATGTGTGGAATCATGGGACACAGTGAGAAGGACTGCGTGAATGTCCCAGAGGAGATGCAGAGTCATGGGTTTGGGTGGGGGACATGGCTTAAGGCCTCTCCTAGAAGAGGAAGAAAGACAGAGGTTGAAGAAGTGAAGGACTGGAGTGTGTCAAAGAAGCTAGTTTTTATACCAAAGTCTGAATTTGTACCTTTGTTGAGATCCCAAGAGAAGGAGGATGGGGATAATAATATGGAGGAGGAGGTGAATGAACTCTCCTTGGAGCGTACAAAGTGTGGGAAGGATATTTCTCAAGAGGGAAGGAATAAGGGGGTGAGTATGATATTGCCTTCTAAGGATAATGTTGTGCAAGAGGACTCATCAGAGATGGACTGTGATGATGACAGTAATGAAAATAGTTTCAGTGTTGCACCTTTTAATATAGGTGTCTCACAAAAGAATCTAGTACATGGCAGGAAGGTGAGAAAAAAGATAAAACAATCTCTCATAGCTCCTAAAGTCGGAGGAGGGAGCCTTGAGGTCTCTGAAACATGTGGACAGAAAAGAAAGAGCACGTGTGATGGTGAAGGGGACAGTGATGAGGAACTTGTAATTGGAGAAGCCTGTAAACGGAGTAAGAACAATATGCAGGATTCGAAGACTAATATTTTATTGACGGCGGTTGGCAATGACCAACCTCGTCAGGCATTATGAGCATTTTATGCTGGAAATGTCGGGGAATGGGCAATCCCAAGACAGTTCGTAGACTCTGCAAATGGAGTAATTTGATTGCCCCTGATCTAGTTTTTGTCTCGGAAACTATGATCAGTAAAGATGCGGCGGAAAAAGTAAAAGAAAAAATCGGTTTCTCGAACTCATTTGGGGTGGCTAGCCGAGGAAAATCTGGTGGACTTTGTGTTTTTTGGAGACAAGAGTATTGATTTTTCATTAATTGCATACTCTCAAAATCATATTTGAGGGGATGTAAAGAAGGGGGATGTGGTGTGG